AAAGAAAACAAGTGCGTGAATAATCGCCGGATTAAAACGAATTTAAAATATGTGGTAAATTAACTTTAATCTGGTGAATATTCCCGCACTTGTGTGTGGGCGGGGGTTGCTGGCGTCTACTCTTCCTGAGAGGTTGGATGGTGATAGACGCTACTCACGGATACAGATAGGGGCGGCAACATAGAAATGGCTTAATTTTAAGCGGCTGACTGGTTTTAAGCGCAAAAGGATTATATCATCTGTCTATATCTCTGAGATGACGTCTTATGATTACTTAGATTGTTTACATGATTCGGACTGTTATCCTCATCTTCATTGCCATATTCACAACGTTTCGACCGTTTTACGACCCGGCCTTCTTCAGGTGATTGAAATTTCGAACCGAACCCTTTATTTCGTACACAGGGGCAGATTGTTCGAGGTCCACGTGCCATGCCTCTTCAGATGTCTCATTTATTTGGTGACTCTATAGTTCATTTACCATTTATGTCTGATGAATTGGGCAACCATGAAACTCTGAGTTGCCCTACAAACGTAGGTATATGTGTATTTATTAATATACACTTTACAGCTCTGTTTAACTACATTTAGCTCTGTTTTGTTTACACCTTAAATTAAATAAATAATCATCTGTATATGTGTGTTATCACACGGATTTATAGTTGCTAATATCTCGTTATTTAGTTTATGCTCATATATATATATATATATATATATATATATATATATATATATATATATATATATATATATATAATTAATACCGAAATCCGCTACTCAGACTTTCATGTAGTAACAATCGTTTTAGCGGATTTTAGTATTACTAATATTTTAGTATTACTAATATTTTAGTATTATTAATATTATTATATTTAAGCTCAGTTTATTTTATATTTTTAAGCTTTTACTATATTTTTAGATTTATCTTTTAATCTTACTATATATATATATATATATATATATATATATATATATATATATATATATATGACAACCTAACTGTCAGGGTTTCCATTCTCGGTAGTGGGTTCGCACTGCTGATGAGTCCCAAATATAGGACGAAACAGCCGTCCAGTGCTTTCTGCATTCTGTTGAGGTTTCTTTCAGACTCTATGAATTAATTATATATATATATATATATATATATATATATATATATATATATATATATATATATATATATATGTATATATTACATTATTGTAATCGTCTAGCGATTTTTTAACATGTGTTTGTTTTAATATCCTAAAATACATAATATTTATCTCTACTCTGTATTGAACCATGTTTTTTAATTAAATTTTACGTACATTATAATTATTCTCCATTTGTTCTCATTTTATATATATATATATATATATATATATATATATATATATATATATGAATGAATGAATGAATAAAAAGTGACAAGTGTAAAAACTATTCTTATTCCGGGAGACCTTAACAAAGCAAATGTATTTATTTTGTTTAAAAGAAACACAATCTGGGGCGTGTTCCTTGATGAATTTCATCTTAGCATCATGACACAATATGTCTATATTATTCAGTGAAACATGTCTGAAGGAAGATATGCTGGCCAACCTATATATATATATATATATATATATATATATATATATATATATATATACAAATTATCTTTTAAAAATATGATTCTTTCGCTACATAAGTGTTCTCATGTTTCAAAAACAAGAGCCATAAACTTCAATATAATTAGTAAAATTAAATTGAATTAATGTATCAAGCTCTCTTTCAACCTCAAGCGAAATTTTTGGAATAATTAATTTTGAAATTTACGCATATTTATAAGCATATTCATTCGTAAAATTAATTACTGTGGAAACGGCTGAAGCAATTATGTCAATAAGGAGCCTAAGAATTTATATCAACATATATTAGTTACTCATATATATATATATATATATATATATATATATATATATATATATATATATATATATATATATTTATTGTTTTATGTAATTGCCTTTAATGAGTTTTTATTTCACTATTTTTAATGATTTTTTATATTACTTGGTCAGATAAATGGATAATAGTTTTTGGTATGTCAGGGAAGAGCAAACTCACTGCAGTCGCAGTTGTCTGTGAGACGAACTTGCTAACCATTGCTTCTCGATAAGGTGCCTATGGATTTTCATCGGTCTTAGATTAGTCTTGAAGTAAGCAACAAATTTGGATCCCGTAGTAAGAATTAAACCCATAACTACTGTCATAATTTCACAAGGCTAGCCTTCTACATACTACTACACAACTGCAACGCGGTCTTACTAAGAATACTTTATCGAATATTTTATGCTTAATTTAAATTTAAAATATTTTCGCTTTCGTTGGTTAGGTTCGATTATCGTTTTTTTTTTTTTTTTTTATCGAAGCGAGACTTTGTGTTTCTAATTCAGTGTAAATTGTTATTTAAATCAAATTATTTGATTACGTACAGATTTCTAAAGGTTTCTCATATAAAATGAATGATATCACCGAAATATTCCAGATTGTTGCGAGGTGTATTTCTCTCGGATTATTATCAATCGTAGCACAGTTCTCCACGTTACGTTTAGCAAACGGGTTCGCTGACTAATGCCGCTTTATTCACTCTCTGCTCTCTATTTAAGTTGTCATCATCATTTGCATATGATACTACACAGATAATTCAGACTGGAGTTTTTAGTCTCTTTATCGAAATCGAAATGCTGCGTAGGCCAGGGTCAATCAAATATATTAGCTATCGTAATTGTCTTGTCGGTATGTGAGTTTTGATTTCTTGTCGAATAGATTTCCAGTTGTGGTTCTCTCTATAAGAGAACGGGGTTATAATATTCGTTAGGCAATGCTGTTTTGTGCTATACATCTATGACGTTATAGGCGGGCCTTAGAGCGGGCTTCAACATGACACTTTTTGCTGGAACTAAAATCTAAAGAAATGATTTTTTTCTTCTTGGCCTCAATCGATAACAATGCTATCTATCTAAGATGTATCTAAAATCAGTACCGAGATTAGTTTTGCAAATACGTAACAAAACTTATTTTTTTCTCGAAACATTAGCTCCTAAAACATCAGTATAAGTCTTACTTGCAGAAAAAATCTATGGATTTCTTTCAAGAAAATTATAATAATAGCTGTCCACTCGTAATCGAGGATACCCGTCTACTAGGACGGTTAACCAATCCCTATTGCAGACGCTCGCTCAGGCACATTTATGTTTGTTCAACACCCACAGAGCCCACCTGTGATTTATACTGCAACTATGCTGAGCAGACCTTAGTTACAGTTTCTGGGAGAGAGCTTGTTTTCTAGCGTGACCAACAAGGCCAGCACGCTCAAGTCCTCGGCCACGATGACTTGTGACTTCGTGCTAGCACAGCTATCGAAGGCCCCTAGGGGTTGCGTCTGCCCAATTTCACTTATAAAGCTTGGGTCAACCCGTGCTATGGCTTTCAGGCACTTTCTAAAGGTGGCATACGCTGGGATCGGCTCCACCAGTACAATAACATCGGGAAGTCTCCTTTACGACAAATCGACCATAGTGAGATTCGAACCCGGGTTCGAATGGTCAGAATGCAAACGTTGTAACCGCTCGGCCACGTGCCCATAATTCCAGAAAATAATTACAAGCGTAAAGACAGGATTTCTTTGCTAACAAAGGAAACAGTACTGAACTGCTACGTGACATCTGCCCTCCTTTCAGGCAGAAAATGGTAGACGGTCTCCTCAAAAATGAAGAAGAGACGCGAGGCGACGCAGATGTTGTTCTACAGAAGGATGCTGAGGATATCATGGGTCGGTTAGCCAATCCCTATTGCAGACGCTCGTTCAGGCACATTTGTGTTTGTTCAGCACCCACAGAGCCCACTTTTTTTTTTTTTAAATAAAGGTGATAATGCCACCAAGACGCAAGGAAACTACTGGGTGTGAAAGAGAATGAAAATACACTAGAAGGAATCGGAAATCAACTCCTAAGGAGGAAAAAAAGGAATAAACCTCTACTCCTGTTAAAAAAAGGAGGAGTTTTAACTGGACGAAAGGCGAACCTATCTACTATTAATTATAGAATACGCTTATTTTTGCTGACGACCGTAGAATGACGATCTTTGAATTATGATAAGAAGTAATTGCAATTATAGTGAAAGAAATACCAGTTGAAATGTTTGTAAATATGCCTCAGTGTTTTAATTTTGTCAAGCGTGCACCCCCCACGCTATGATGGTCTATCATGGATAATATTTAATGAAAAATAACAAATTTATAAGTTTAGATGAACTTATATTTCATGCTGGGTTTGTGGGGAGTTAATTATACTAACCATGGACTTTGGAGAGCTTTCCGAAAATATGTGAAGAATTTTACATTGTTTTTAAAGAGGCAAAATACGAATTTGATACCTTCCCCTCTAACTATTTACTGTTTAAAAATTCGTTTATCAAAATCTTATGTAAACTATTGGTAAGCGGATTATACTTTCAGCATTGTTTTAGCATCACACATCAAATTTTCTAAAGTCTTGTCGGTGGGTTCTTGAATAAGCTGGCAACACCCCCCCCGGCAGGGGGTAAAATAAGCCCCCCACTATATACCATAAAAAAAGAAAAAATCCTTACAGATTCACTTATACACAAGTAATCCTAAATAAAGGTTTATAGACTCAAATATTGATAGATTGATTTGATTTTTTACTGTTTATCAACCTTTTTGTGGGTTATTTAAAGCCGAAATATATTATAGCTTGTAAGAATAACTCTTCTTTACTTTTAGCGAGTGAATATTATACAAACAGTTCCTTTTTTGATAATAATGATTTTCAGATAAAAGTCTTACTAATTAGCCCATAACTTGAGTAGAAGCGTTGGTTTCATGCCTTTCCCAAAGGTAATTGCGCGTAAGTGAATTGCATATACCGTACTCGACAGGAATTCGAACTCGACTCTTCGGTTTATCATTCTGAGCCGTTATCTATTTCACCACACTCGCATCCAAGATAACGGAACCGAATTTCACGCGCGGTCATTCATCTAGTTACTGACCAGGCTCGACATTGCTTAACTTCGGTAATCATACGAGAACCGGTGGTTCAACGTGATATGGCCGTAAGCACTTGACTCAAACGAACAATATTCATCTAACCACGAACCAAATAAATATTTATTGAATCAAATATAAATTACAAATTTTATTCGATAAATATTGGATATTTATATTTGAGTCTCTAACCTAATAAATGCTTATAGACTCAAATATGAAAGACTAATATTTAGTTATTAACGAACCAAGTAAATTCTTTGTAGACTCAAATCTAAAAGACCAATATTTAGTTATTAACGAACCAAGTAAATGCTTATAGACTCAAATATAAGAGACCAATATTTAGTTATTACGAATCCAGTAAATGCTTATAGCTCCAAATATAAAAGCCGTCCTAGGTATGACGATAAACTACGTCCAACTGCAAGGCTTCTGATCAGGAGGTTTTGAGGAGCATGGAACCACCTCTTAATTGCTGGCGTTCCCAGGTCCGCCATGACCCGGGTTGGTAGCACCTGTTAGGGTCCCAGCTATGGGTAAATAGTTAACCCTGAAATTGGGGTAAAAGCACTATGAAAGTGTAAAAATTGGGTTTAATACCACAAGTACCTTGTAAAAAAATTATTTCCAGCAATAAATATTTAAAGAAAAAAAAAAGAAAAAAATATTACCGGCAAGTTTTTTTTTTTTGAAAAAATTGTTACCAGGAACACATTTTTGAAGAAAAAATATTACGAGAAGTAGATTTTTGACAAAAACAAAATATTACCAGCAATAAAAACAATTGTCGGCATTAAATAACCCATTGAGGTTTATATGCCGTAAAACAAAACAAACCAAACCAGCAATAAATATCTTGTCGGCATTAAATAACCCATTGAGGTTGATATGCCGTAAAACAAAAAAAACCAAACCAGCAATAAATATCTTGTCGGCATTAAATAACCCATTGAGGTTGATATGCCGTAAAACAAACCAAACAAAACCAGCAATAAATATCTTGTCGGCATTAAATAACCCATTGAGGTTGATATGCCGTAAAACAAAACAAAGCAAACCAAACCAGCAATAAAAATCTTGTCGGCATTAAATAACCCATTGAGGTTGATATGCCGTAAAACAAAACCAAACCAAACCAAACCAAACCAGCAATAAAAATCTTGTCGGCATTAAATAACCCATTGAGGTTTATATGCCGTAAAAGAAAACAAAACCAAACCAAACCAGCAATAAATATCTTGTCGGCATTCAATAACCCATTGAGGTTGATATGCCGTAAAACAAAACCAAACCAAACCAAACCAGCAATAAAAATCTTGTCGGCATTAAATAACCCATTGAGGTTGATATGCCGTAAAACAAAACCAAACCAAACCAAACCAGCAATAAAAATCTTGTCGGCATTAAATAACCCATTGAGGTTGATATGCCGTAAAACAAAACCAAACCAAACCAAACCAGAAATAAAAATCTTGTCGGCATTAAATAACCCATTGAGGTTGATATGCCGTAAAAGAAAACAAAACCAAACCAAACCAGCAATAAATATCTTGTCGGCATTAAATAACCCATTGAGGTTGATATGCCGTAAAACAAAACCAAACCAAACCAAACCAGCAATAAAAATCTTGTCGGCATTAAATAACCCATTGAGGTTGATATGCCGTAAAACAAAACCAAACCAAACCAAACCAGCAATAAAAATCTTGTCGGCATTAAATAACCCATTGAGGTTGATATGCCGTAAAACAAAACAAAGCAAACCAAACCAGCAATAAAAATCTTGTCGGCATTAAATAACCCATTGAGGTTGATATGCCGTAAAAAAGAAAACAAAACCCAAACCAAACCAGCAATAAATATCTTGTCGGCATTAAATAACCCATTGAGGTTGATATGCCGTAAAACAAAACCAAACCAAACCAAACCAGCAATAAAAATCTTGTCGGCATTAAATAACCCATTGAGGTTGATATGCCGTAAAAACAAAACCAAACCAAACCAAACCAGCAATAAAAATCTTGTCGGCATTAAATAACCCATTGAGGTTGATATGCCGTAAAACAAAAACAAAACAAACCAAACCAGCAATAAAAATTTGTCGGCATTAAATAACCCATTGAGGTTGATATGCCGTAAAACAAACCAAACCAAACCAAACCAGCAATAAAAATCTTGTCGGCATTAAATAACCCATTGAGGTTGATATGCCGTAAAACAAAACAAAGCAAACCAAACCAGCAATAAAAATCTTGTCGGCATTAAATAACCCATTGAGGTTGATATGCCGTAAAAGAAAACAAAACCAAACCAAACCAGCAATAAATATCTTGTCGGCATTAAATAACCCATTGAGGTTGATATGCCGAAAAAGCAAACCAAACCAAACCAAACCAGCATTAAAAATCTTGTCGGCATTAAATAACCCATTGAGGTTTATATGCCGTAAAAGAAAACCAAACCAAACCAAACCAGCAATAAATATCTTGTCGGCATTAAATAACCCATTGAGGTTGATATGCCGTAAAACAAAACAAACCAAACCAAACCAGCAATAAAAATCTTGTCGGCATTAAATAACCCATTGAGGTTGATATGCCGTAAAACAAAACAAAGCAAACCAAACCAGCAATAAAAATCTTGTCGGCATTAAATAACCCATTGAGGTTGATATGCCGTAAAAGAAAACAAAACCAAACCAAACCAGCAATAAATATCTTGTCGGCATTAAATAACCCATTGAGGTTGATATGCCGTAAAACAAAACAAAACCAAACCAAACCAGCAATAAAAATCTTGTCGGCATTAAATAACCCATTGAGGTTGATATGCCGTAAAACAAAACCAAACCAAACCAGCAATAAAAATCTTGTCGGCATTAAATAACCCATTGAGGTTGATATGCCGTAAAACAAAACAAAGCAAACCAAACCAGCAATAAATATCTTGTCGGCATTAAATAACCCATTGAGGTTGATATGCCGTAAAACAAAACAAAACCAAACCAAACCAGCAATAAAAATCTTGTCGGCATTAAATAACCCATTGAGGTTGATATGCCGTAAAACAAAACCAAACCAAACCAGCAATAAAAATCTTGTCGGCATTAAATAACCCATTGAGGTTGATATGCCGTAAAAGAAAACAAAGCAAACCAAACCAGCAATAAAAATCTTGTCGGCATTAAATAACCCATTGAGGTTGATATGCCGTAAAACAAACCACACCAAACCAGCAATAAAAACTTTGTTGTCATTAAATAACCCATAGAGGTTGATATACCGTAAAACAAACCAAACCAAACCAAACCAAACCAAACCAAAAAGCAAATATAAAAGGTAAATACTTAGCTATTAAGCAATCCAGAAAATGCTTATAAACTCAAATATAAAAACCAATTTTTACCGTCTTTATATAACCAAGCAGAAGTTGACATGTAAAATCAACCACCTCAAGAGAGTCTAGTTTTCTCCTCAACACACTCTGTAAGTTTGTAGCAACTCGCATGTAAAAAAAAAAAAATTACGCTCAAAGATATTTGGGTGTAGATGTTTCTGAAGAGAAGTAGGATCTTTGTAGCTTAGCTGCTGTTTCTTGAGCGTTGGAAAGACAGGCAGATATGCAATATAATTGGCCTTGTTCTGGCATCTCGTCTACAGTCACTCTCTCACAGACGCGTCGTCGCCTCTCTCTGTCTTTTTTACAAATACTTTCATGGCAATTGCTCCGAGGAGCTGCATTCGCTGGTTCCCAGACTTCATGAGTTCAAGCGCCCTACGAGGCTGGCATCCTGCTCTCACCCTTTCACTGTCGAAACTCCTAAATGTAGCCGTCTCTTCTACTCCAATAGCTTCATGTCTCGCACCTCTCGACTGTGGAACTCCCTTCCCTATTCCAGTTTACATGAGAGCTATAATCTCCAGCTATTCAATTGTAATGTCAATCGACGTCTCCAGTTGCCTTGATCTATCCACTACCCTTCTCCTCATCCTTTCCTCTATCACTCCTATCTGATCTTGCTCCAAATTTTCCGTAACCCCTTGCGTCCTAGTGACTTCTCGCCTTGCTTGGGGTGAAACGCTTAAAAAAAAACAAAAACAAAATAAATGCTCCCTACTCCATCTTCTAAATCTCTTACATCCGGTTCCCAGCTCAACATCCTGTACCTCACTTCAGCAGCCGCACTAAACGACGGGAGGAGGTGTCATTGACACGGCACCACTGGGCGTAGGAACTTGTTACAAAAGGCACCAATCAGAATGCGAAGTTGCCAGTACAACGATCGTGGTTACGTGTCCGAGGTCAAAGCGATCACTCTGTTATTGGAGAAAGTCAGCTGTAACATGGCCTGGAGAGGGATGGGTATCGCCAGTCTAAGATACGCTACATGTTGAAAGTTAAGGCAAAGAACAACCAGTGATTTTTTGCCCAGACCCAGAGACTAGTAAAAAAACGAAAAAAAAATATATCTAGATCAAGCCAATCATGTCATGCCACTACGATTTTGCCAGGTTATGGTATAGAAAGAAGAGATGGGGGAAAGCTGTTTAATTTTAAAATAAAGTTTTTAGATTCTTCTTTGCCAGATACTTCGAGATTTGTAAATTAATAATTGCTTATTGGCGCTGTGTTTTCGTTGTCACATGTGTTTTTTCGGGTTTTCTTGTAACATGTACTATAGCAGTAAATATTCTTCGAAGCGTCATTTTCTCTTTAGAGCCGTGCAAACGACTGCTATTAAATCAATATGTCCTTACAGATGTAAAGGTTATTGTTGTCTCCAAGATGTCTTCTGTATGAACGCTTACTTTCATTCCGAGTGTCGAAACGTGACTTGAATTCAATCGATATCAGAAACGAACTGCATTAGGTAGACCGTATGGAGCCTACCTATTGATAGATCGTCCAATCAAGGCAAAAGCATGACAAGTAACATATTTGCATTATTTAGTACGCTCTCTAACTTTTGAGTGGGTAATCCTTTTTATAATTGCCGTCGTAGACTTTGGGGAGAAATTATATTGGCTAATACATACAAACTATCTCAGTTCTAAATTTAACCTTCTTCT